AGTTCTGTTCTAGTTTTGTTCGAGTTCTGTTCTAGTTCTGTTCTAGTTCTGTTCTAGTTCTGTTCTAGTTCCGTTCTAGTTCTGTTCTAGTTCTGTTCGAGTTCTGTTCTAGTTCTGTTCTAGTTCTGTTCTAGTTCTATTCTTGTTCTGTTCTAGTTCTGCTCCAGGTCTGATATAATTCAGTTCTGGTTCTGTTCTATTTTTCGTTCATTAATTTTATTCGTTGGGTCACAGTCTCTAGAACTGCCGGGTTATTTAAAAATCTCCATATGTTAGTTGCGAATATGTACTTTTTCCATGTATAAATATGTGTGATAATGATGATGTCTGATTATAAATACAAAATAATTTGCGGTTGGTTTTCTATTGTGTTTTAAATTAGTCGTCGAAATAGAAAAAAAAGTACAAATTCCATTATACATTTATACAAACTAGTTGGCTCTGCACTTTATGAAAAGGTTATTCAAATGTATTAAAAGGAATTGGTTAAATTTTCTTTACTTTTCACTACTTTTTTTTTTTTTGATAATAACATCATTTCAAATTATTTTAATTTTCACTTTTTCCACTTTTAAGTATTTGGGGGAAGAAAAAACTAACTTTCTTAAAGTTTAAATAAAAAAATTTTAATAAATATATAATAATAACAGTTAAATTATTACACATAAGTGCAATATTTATTTTAGAAATATTAATAACGTACTTTCTTTATAACATTAAGAGTGATCAGAAGAGCGAGCATTAAAGTGATTGGGACTGGTTCAAAATTTAAGAAAAATTTATCGATTTCTTTGGGTTATGTCATTGCCAAGATCACTACATATTTAATTGCATTTTTCATTTTTAGTCAAAATATTCTTTCAAATCTCTGAATGAAAACTTAAATTACTCATGTATGACCAAATGATTCTGGGCACGTGTACCATTAAAACGTGACAATTTTATAATACAAATGTTAATTTTAACAAATCAATAATAGTGTTGTTGTCATATTTAACAATAAATAGTGAAAAAAAAAAGTTTTTTTTTAATTTTTCAAGATCATTTTTTGGCAACCAAACATTTAAATCTTCTCCTACACTTTTTCAGGAATCGAACAAGAGAGGGAATTGAAACAGGAATTGAATCTGAGAGTTTAAGCTTGCTAGGGGAGAGATGAATTAGATTTCTCTTCAAACTGATCAGTCATTAATCAAATTTGCGAGTTTCATTTCGATCATCTGTATTTGTTGATTAAGGTTCTTTTTTTTCGCTTGACTTTTTAATAATTAATTACAAAATCGCCAACAAGAATATTTAAATAAAATTATTAATTCATGCAATAAATAAAAGTGCAAATATTATTAAACAAAAATAACATAAAAACAAATATTTATAAATAAAACTATTCAATCAATATTTGCATAATCATTAACAACAACAAAAAACAATTATTTAATTAAATGTAAATGAGGCTTAACTAATATTTATCCAACATTTACTTAGATGAGTCAGTTACCATTGAAGCTATTGTAGCAAGATCATCAATGATTTCAAAAAAAAAAAAAGTGATCGAATGCTGGAATGACAGCTAACAGTGAATCAATCTTTGATCACGAATTCTTATTTTTGTTGAGTTATTTTTTTCTTATATATAATTATGACTTCATACATTTTGTTAGTTTTTGTTTATCTCTTTCATGTCTAAAAGTTGTTAAACAATTTTTTTTATTTAATTTGTTCAAAAAAAAAAAAACAACCAAAAATCAAAAAAAAAAATGAAACAATATTTGAATTGCAGTAATATTTAAACGTACGTTTTTGTTTTGGTTTTATTTTTAATTTAGATTATGCAATATTTTTAATTAAATTTTTTTCTTAAAGTTTAGCTTATAGTTATGTTAGCAATACTATATGGTATTTTACCGATAAAGACTAAAATGTAGGTAGTTTTTTTATGTATTTTGGTCAGTTACATTAATGTTTACTACAAATGCACATATGGCTGGTTTAAGTGCATTTTTTCGGCTCTAAAAGTCAAAAACTTTTTAATTCAATTGCAACATATCGATTAACTACTGTATTTCCTAAAACATTTGTTTTTCTTAATCTTCACATTATTCGAATTTGTATCACCAAATTGTATTCCTAATAAGATAAAAAGGAAATGAAATTAATGATCTTTAAAACAAATCCGTCAGAGGAAGAAAGAGAGAACAGGCTCCCCCTTTTCTCTGAACTGAACTAGAACAGAATAAAATCTGAATTAAAACTAAACTAGAACAGAACTAGAACAGAACTAGAACAGAACTAGAACAGAACTAGAACAGAACTAGAACAGAACTAGAACAGAACTAGAACAGAACTAGAACAAAACTAGAACAGAACTAGAACAGTACTAGAACTAGAACAGAACTAGAACAGAACTAGAACAGAACTAGAACAGAACTAGAACAGAACTAGAACAGAACTAGAACAGAACTAGAACAGAACTAGAACAGTACTAGAACAGAACTAGAATAGAACTAGAACAGAACTAGAACAGAACTAGAACTAGAACAGAACTAGAACAGAACTAGAACAGAACCAGAACAGTACTAGAACAGTACTAGAACAGAACTAGAACAGAACTAGAACAGAACTAGAACTAGAACAGAACTAGAACAGAACTAGAACAGAACTAGAACAGAACTAGAACAGAACTAGAACAGAACTAGAACAGAACTAGAACAGAACTAGAACAGAACTAGAACAGAACTAGAACAGAACTAGAACAGAACTAGAACAGAACTAGAACAGAACTAGAACAGAACTAGAACAGAACTAGAACTGAACTAGAACAGAAGTAGAACAGAACTACAATAGAATTACAATAGAAGTAGAACAGAACTAGAACTGAACTAGATCAGAAGTAGAACAGAACTACAATAGAATTACAATAGAACTAGAACAGAACTAGAACAGAACTAGAACAGAACTAGAACAAAACTAGAACAGAACTAGAACAGAACTAGAACAGAACTAGAACAGAACTGGAAACAGAACTAGAACAGAACTAGAACAGAACTAGAACAGAACTAGAACAGAACTAGAACAGAACTAGAACAGAACTAGAACAGAACTAGAACAGAACTAGAACAGAACTAGACAGAACTAGAACAGAACTAGAACAGAACTAGAACAGAAACTAGAACCGAACTAGAACAGAACTAGAACAGAACTAGAACAGAACTAGAAACAGAACTAGAACAGAACTAGAACAGAACTAGAACAGAACTAGAACAGAACTAGAACAGAACTAGAACAGAACTAGAACAGAACTGAACCGAACTAGAACAGAACTAGAACAGAACTAGAATCAGAAACTCGAACCAGAACTAGAACAGAACTAGAACAGAACTAGAACAGAACTAGAACAGACTAGAACAGAACTAGAACAGAACTAGAACAGAACTAGACAGAACTAGAACAGAACTAGAACAGAACTAGAACAGAAACTAGAACAGAACTAGAACAGAACTAGAACAGAACTAGAACAGAACTAGAACAGAACTAGAACAGAACTAGAACAGAACTAGAACAGAACTAGAACAGAACTAGAACAGAACTAGAACAGAACTAGAACAGAACTAGAACAGAACTAGAACAGAACTAGAACAGAACTAGAACAGAACTAGAACAGAACTAGAACAGAACTAGAACAGAACTAGAACAGAACTAGAACAGAACTAGAACAGAACTAGAACAGAACTAGAACAGAAACTAGAACAGAACTAGAACAGAACTAGAACAGAACTAGAACAGAACTAGAACAGAACTAGAACAGAACTAGAAACTAGAACAGAACTAGAACAGAACTAGAACAGAACTAGAACAGAACTAGAACAGAACTAGAACAGAACTAGAACAGAACTAGAACAGAACTAGAACAGAACTAGAACAGAACTAGACAGAACTAGAACAGCTAGAACAGAACTAGAACATCTATCTATCTTTCTATCTATCTATCTATCTATCTATCTATCTATCTATCTATCTATCTATCTATCTATCTATCTATCTATCTATCTATCTATCTATCTATCTATCTATCTATCTATCTTAAGTACCTTAAATCTTCATAAGTTTAATTCTTAATCTTTGAATCATTAGAATTTGTACAATGAAATTGTATTCTCATTAAGCTCAACAGGAAGACAATGTGAAAGATCTTTAGACATAAACTGCAACAATGAAAAAATTCTTTAATAATTTCTAATAACTTTCCACATATTTTATATTCCCCTCTCTCTTACTCCTTTTCTGATCTTGTTGCCTTTCAGTTAACATTCTTTAACAATAGAATCGATCATTTAAGAAAATCTAAACAAGTTTCGAAAGAAAATACATACAATAAATTTGATAACATTTGTTACAAACTAATAAAATAGTTTTTATACTAACAATTTATCTTTTGTTTTGGAATGCCTGTCACGTCAAATTAATGACAAACAAAAGAGATTTTCATAACACTTCTTTAAAGATCCCCTATTAAATACAAAATGAAATAAATTCTTTGAAAATGTTCTTACAGTTAAAATGTAACAGCTGATTAACAATCGTTTTACTATAAAAAAAACGTGATTTAATTTACATACTCAAGCGATTACAATCTCTTTCAAAACTGACAATTAGTTTAACGGTATTAAACGTTACATTTTCGAAAATTTATGTCAAATAAGAGAAAAAATATTCATTGTTGGAAAAAATCAAATGATTTTCTTCTGATTAGTATTTGTAAACAATTAATAAATGAAAAAGAAAACGTGTTTAAATATTTATTTTTTTTATTTCTTTTATATATTTTGTTAATATGAAAGGTGACGTTATGCAGCCAGACACTTGAGTTATTATTAGTTAATTAAATACAATTTCTTTGTAATAATATTTTATTTAAAAATTTTAACAAATAAATCATATACATTATACATAAAAGAATTGTTAAATAATCTCTTATATTGTTTCTCTTTTATTTCGTTTAGAAATTGGAACAAGAAAAACATGTTTTACGACAAAAACTCGCAATTGCTGAAGAGGAAAGTGAACAAAGGGTGCTGGAAATACAAGCGGATTACAATGAACTTAAAGATAAATCACTGGCACAGGTAAGGAAATGATAAATAACATTAATTTTTTTTTGTTAAAAAAAAACTAATTTCTTCAAAAATTAGCAAAAATATACTATAACTGAACTAGAACTGAACACTGAACTAGAACTGAACACTGAACTAGAACTAAACACTGAACTAGAACTGAACACTGAACTAGAACTGAACTAAAACTGAACTAGAACTGAACTAGAACTGAACTAGAACTGAACTAGAACTGAACTACAACTGAACTAGAACTGAACTAGAACTGAACTAGAACTGAACTAGAACTGAACTACTGAACTAGAACTGAACTAGAACTGAACTAGAACTGAACTAGAACTAAACTAGAACTGAACTAGAACTGAACTAGAACTGAACTAGAACTGAACTAGAACTGAACTAGAACTGAACTAGAACTGAACTAGAACTGAACTAGAACTGAACTAGAACTGAACTAGAACTGAACTAGAACTGAACTAGAACTGAACTAGAACTGAACTAGAACTGAACTAGAACTGAACTAGAACTGAACTAGAACTGAACTAGAACTGAACTAGAACTGAACTAGAACTGAACTAGAACTGAACTAGAACTGAACTAGAACTGAACTAGAACTGAACTAGAACTGAACTAGAACTGAACTAGAACTGAACTAGAACTGAACTAGAACTGAACTAGAACTGAACTAGAACTGAACTAGAACTGAACTAGAACTGAACTAGAACTGAACTAGAACTGAACTAGAACTGAACTAGAACTGAACTAGAACTGAACTAGAACTGAACTAGAACTGAACTGGAACTGAACTAGAACTGAACTAGAACTGAACTAGAACTGAACTAGAACTGAACTAGAACTGAACTAGAACTGAACTAGAACTGAACTAGAACTGAACTAGAACTGAACTAAACTGAACTAGAACTGAACTAGAACTGAACTAGAACTGAACTAGAACTGAACTAGAACTGAACTAGAACTGAACTAGAACTAGAACTGAACTAGAACTGAACTAGAACTGAACTAGAACTGAACTAGAACTGAACTAGAACTGAACTGAACTAGAACTGAACTAGAACTGAACTAGAACTGAACTAGAACTGAACTAGAACTGAACTAGAACTGAACTAGAACTGAACTAGAACTGAACTAGAACTTGAACTAGAACTGAACTAGAACTGAACTAGTACTGAACTAGAACTGAACTAGAACTGAACTAGAACTGAACTAGAACTGAACTAGAACTGAACTAGAACTGAACTAGAACTGAACTAGAACTGAACTAGAACTGAAGTAGAACTGAACTAGAACTGAACTAGAACTGAACTAGAACTGAACTAGAACTGAACTAGAACTGAACTAGAACTGAACTAGAACTGAACTAGAACTGAACTAGAACTGAACTAGAACTGAACTAGAACTGAACTAGAACTGAACTAGAACTGAACTAGAACTGAACTAGAACTGAACTAGAACTGAACTAGAACTGAACCAGAACTGAACCAGAACTGAACTAGAACTGAACTAGAACTGAACTAGAACTGAACTAGAACTGAACTAGAACTGAACTAGAACTGAACTAGAACTGAACTAGAACTGAACTAGAACTGAACTAGAACTGAACTAGAACTGAACTAGAACTGAACTAGAACTGAACTAAACTGAACTAGAACTGAACTAGAACTGAACTAGAACTGAACTAGAACTGAACTAGAACTGAACTAGAACTGAACTAGAACTGAACTAGAACTGAACTAGAACTGAACTAGAACTGAACTAGAACTGAACTAGAACTGAACTAGAACTGAACTAGAACTGAACTAGAACTGAACTAGAACTGAACTGAACTAGAACTGAACTAGAACTGAACTAGAACTGAACTGAACTAGAACTGAACTAGAACTGAACTAGAACTGAACTAGAACTGAACTAGAACTGAACTAGAACTGAACTAGAACTGAACTAGAACTGAACTAGAACTGAACTAGAACTGAACTAGAACTGAACTAGAACTGAACTAGAACTGAACTAGAACTGAACTAGAACTGAACTAGAACTGAACTAGAACTGAACTAGAACTGAACTAGAACTGAACTAGAACTGAACTAGAACTGAACTAGAACTGAACTAGAACTGAACTAGAACTGAACTAGAACTGAACTAGAACTGAACTAGAACTGAACTAGAACTGAACTAGAACTGAACTAGAACTGAACTAGAACTGAACTAGAACTGAACTAGAACTGAACTAGAACTGAACTAGAACTGAACTAGAACTGAACTAGAACTGAACTAGAACTGAACTAGAACTGAACTAGAACTGAACTAGAACTGAACTAAAACTAAAGTAGAACTGAACTAGAATCGATAGGAAACTGAACTTATTGATAAAAACTTGTTTATTTTCAGGAAAACGCCTTACGTCAGGCGGAAAAAGAGAAAACCATGTTAATAGAAGAACTATCCAGTCAAAATTCTCGTTTAACCGAACAAATTCAAGAGGCTCATATTACGGAAATGAAGCTAATGTCACAAATTCAGGAATTAAAGGATCAATACTCCTACAGAAACAGTAGTTTACAGGTATGTTTAACAAAAATCCCCCAAAATTTTAAATATTAAATATTTTCTCGATAAATCTTTAACAGGAACATGTCAACAGTCTGGAATCCATAAAAACAGAATTAAATCTAACCACAGAAAAACGTCATGAGCTAGAGAAACGTTTGCAACAGGCTCGCGAAGAAAAGGAAAATATAAGTTCGGCTTTAGATGAGGCTTCAGATCGTATTCACATGCTGGAGAGGCATGCTCGGGAACAGGAAACAAAATTGGAGGTATTTATGAATAAATTGAAGTTGATAAAGTATTTTAAAGTAGACAACTTGTAGTGTTATCAGTTTTTTTTTAAGAATTGAAGTGATATTGTTGCCATTATCTTTTGCTTGAAATATTTCTGATTTCTGCGTTGTTGTTTTTAAAAAAGAAGTTGTTTATTTATCAAGAGAAAATAATAAAAAAATATATAGTTAATATTAATGTATTTGCTAAATTATTAACCCTTTAAAGGCGTTAGAATCTTATCTTCTATCTTAAAAGTAAAGCTTTTAACGAAATTTGCGATATTCCGTTTTCAAGTGAAATCTTTCTAATATTTTTCATTTCCCACTTTCAGACCACCTTGCAGGCTTTAGAAAGAGCCACTAGAGAAAATAATGTGCTCAGTGAGCGTTTGGGAGCGGTAAGTTATCTTAATTAAACAAAATTTTTAAAAAACACCAACTTATTCATGAAATTTTTTCCAAATTCTTTCTCAAACAAAATCTAATATTCAAAAAATTCTCTATAAAAATCCATTGCATACACAATTAACTCCAATTATACTTAAAAAAAAAACATTTCCATCACAAACTTTTTACTAAAAGGATAATTATTCTGGTTCCACCGGTAAAAAGTCCCTACAATTCGAAATGGAATGCGATGAAGATGAGGCTAGTTTCTCGGAAGATGGTAAACCCTCACAAATCTGGGTAGAGGCTCGTTCTGTGTATATACAATTAAAATCTCTGGTAGATTCTTTAAAAATTGGTCATGATGATGACTCAGGTAAGTTTCCAGAAAGCCCTTTTCCTTTTCTCTTATTGTTTTGCATGTTTATCTTTCGTTGTGTGTCAGTAGTTAGTATTTTATAACTTTGCCTTGTGATATTTGAAACCTTAAAGGTTTTACAGGTTTAAATTCGGACATATCATTGGATTTGGAATCTATGGATAATACCATCTCCACCAATGGCAATAGTGAGGGTGGTCATAATGCCATTAATTTCCGCCAGGGCATGTTGTCCGCCATGTCCGATGAGTTGACACGTTTATTGCTAAATCTCGATGCGGGCAATTTCAAAAAGATGCTGGATCAAACTAGAAATTTGGTTTTGGAACAGGAAGACGAAATTAAGAGATCTCATCAATTGATACAACAGCTAGAAGCTAAGGTTGGTATCACTTTCCCTACCCGCAATATATAAAACAGAGAAATTCAATACTATCTTGCTTTTTCAGTTGGCTGTCACCGACGTTGAATTAACCAATGTCAAGGAGGAAAGAGATCAAGCCCGTGGTGATTTGGTCGACACCACCGATCGTGATGAATTATTGGCTAAAGCCCAAAAAGAACGTGATAATGCTACTGAAAGACGCACCAAGGCTGAAGTTGAATTGGCCAAGACACGTGTGGAACTCATGCAGGCCAATTCTCAATTATTGGAATCTATCCAACAAAAGGTGGAATTATCACAACAATTGGAACAGTGGCAGGTTAGTTTGAAAATCTGTATAAATAAAGTTTAAATTATATTTAAACTTTTTCTGTTCTAGTTATTTCCCAATTCTAGTTCTGTTCTAGTTCTAGTTCTGTTCTAGTTCTGTTCTAGTTCTGTTCTAGTTCTGTTCTAGTTCTGTTCTAGTTCTGTTCTAGTTCTGTTCTAGTTCTGTTCTAGTTCTGTTCTAGTTCTGTTCTAGTTCTGTTCTAGTTCTGTTCTAGTTCTGTTCTAGTTCTGTTCTAGTTCTGTTCTAGTTCTATTCTAGTTCTGTTCTAGTTCTGTTCTAGTTCTGTTCTAGTTCTATTCTAGTTCTAGTTCTGTTCTAGTTCTAGTTCTAGTTCTGTTCTAGTTCTGTTCTAGTTCTGTTCTAGTTCTGTTCTAGTTCTGTTCTAGTTCTGTTCTAGTTCTGTTCTAGTTCTGTTCTAGTTCTGTTCTAGTTCTGTTCTAGTTCTGTTCTAGTTTGTCTAGTTCTGTTCTAGTTCTGTTCTAGTTCTGTTCTAGTTCTGTTCTAGTTCTGTTCTAGTTCTGTTCTAGTTTGTTCTAGTTCTGTTATAGTTCTGTTCTAGTTGTTCTAGTCGTTCTGTTCTAGTTCTGTCAGTTTTTTAGTTCTGTTCTAGTTCGTTCTGTTCTAGCTGTTAGTTTTTTATTCTTTCATGTTCTATAAGTTTGGTTCTGTTTCTCTGCAAGTTCTGGAGTCTGTTCTAGTTCTGTTCTAGTTCTAGGCTTTTAAAATTAATTTTTTATTCCATTTTATAAATTTGGTTGTTTCTCTTCCAGAGGACATGCAATACTCATTGAAGGAGCAAATGCGCTCGAAATGATTAACCAATCGTAACAGTGCAAACAGCGGAACCTCAACAAACCAGTGCTGCTGCTAATTTAGCCAAACGTTGGTCCAACTATAAACTCTGGAGCCTCTTTCAAACGGTAATCTAATAACATTGAAATGGTGGCGCTATGCGTCTATAATTTTAATAATGTAAAAGCTTTTAATTAATTTTATATACAATATACTTATACTTATTTTTATTTTTATTTTTATTATTATTTTTTAATTTGTATAAACACAATTACATATTTTTATGACAATTCTTTTTAAAATTAAGTACTTAAACAAAAGAAGAAAAAACTGACAGACAAGCAGACATATTTATATAGTAATATTAATTATTAATTAAATATTTTGTAAATTTTAACTGAGTGAGTTGGAAGGAGAAAAAGTGTAACCTTGCAAAAATTGGGTTTTTAAGGAAAAACAAAAACAAAATATTTAACTAAATATAACTAAAAAATGTACCTTTTTTGTAATTTAAAATCAAAACTTATAAAATTTTTAAACAAGAAGAAGTTTTAATAATTATAAGAAATTTAATAAAAATATTAGAAAATTTTGGGTTTTGATTTTATTAAAATTTTATAATTGATTTTTTTTTAATATTATTTTTTAACAAATTAGAAAACATTAAGTGAAACATTAACGCTTTTTTATGTATGTATTAAAAATTTTATATTTTTTAAATTAAGTTTTTAATTAAAAAGTAAAAAAAGTAAAAAAATAATGAGACAAGAAGAGAAACAATACGATGTTTTCAAATAGAACTTTTTGGATTTTGTTTAAAACTGAACAATTTTTATTAAACTTTAGGAAGAGATTTCGAGAGTCCGAGTTATCGAAATATCTAAAGTGAATATAAAATTTGTTTAAAGAGGGTTAAAGAGGATCCAAACGTTCATAAATAACTATGTATGTTATTTAAATTTTCTCATATTTTGTTATTTTTTATTTTAACTTAATAATATGCCTTATATTAATCTCTTTTTTTATATTAATTTTAAAATAACTTAAAAGTACTTAAAACAAAATTTCTAAAAAATCAAAAAAAAAAAACGTTGTAGCACAACATATCGCTTAAAAAATTCTCGTTAAGTTTATTTAAAAAACTACACTAAAATGTTAGAAAATTAAAAAAAAAAAGAAATTCTAAAAGAATTTTTTTAAAAAAAAAAAACCTTTCAAAAAACAAGTTATTTTTAAAACAACAACAACTACTAAAAGATTTATATAAAAATTTAAACAAAAACAAAACATATTTTTTAATAACTTAAATAAGTTAGAATTAAGTAAAGCACGAAATCAAAGCAAAGATTTTTTTTAAACTAAAATAATAAAAAAAATGTTAAACAAAAACTTAAATTATATAAAGAAAAACATAAAATAATTTCATTTTTTTAGAACAAAAAAAGCTTTAATTTCACCTACTTGCCTTAATTCTGACAATGAAGCAAAAACAAATGAAAATGACACTTAATATTTAAAATAAAATATAAAAAAAAAACAAAAACTAACTTTTAATTAATTAATTTGTAAAGTAAATGTTATATAAATATTTAATAATAATAATAATAATAACAACTACCTTTAAACAAAAAATTATAATAAAACAATTTATTTAGTATAAAATGTATTTATTCTTTGTTATTATTTAGTGATTCAGTTCCAGTACTGCTGTAGCTCAGTTTTAGTTCAGTACTAGTTCAGTTCTAGTTAAGTTCTAGTTCAGTTCTAGTTCAGTTCTAGTTCAGTTCTAGTTCAGTTCTAGTTCAGTTCTAGTTCAGTTCTAGTTCAGTTCTAGTTCAGTTCTAGTTCAGTTCTAGTTCAGTTCTAGTTCAGTTCTAGTTCAGTTCTAGTTCAGTTCTAGTTCAGTTCTAGTTCAGTTCTAGTTCAGTTCTAGTTCAGTTATAGTTCAGTTGTGGTTCAGTTGTGGTTCAGTTCTAGTTCAGTTCTAGTTCAGTTCTAGTTCAGTTCTAGTTCAGTTCTAGTTCAGTTCTAGTTCAGTTCTAGTTCAGTTCTAGTTCAGTTCTAGTTCAGTTCTAGTTCAGTTCTAGTTCAGTTCTAGTTCAGTTCTAGTTCAGTTCTAGTTCAGTTCTAGTTCAGTTCTAGTTCAGTTCTAGTTCAGTTCTAGTTCAGTTCTAGTTCAGTTCTAGTTCAGTTCTAGTTCAGTTCTAGTTCAGTTCTAGTTCAGTTCTAGTTCAGTTCAGTTCTAGTTCAGTTCTAGTTCAGTTCTAGTTCAGTTCTAGTTCAGTTCTAGTTCAGTTCTAGTTCAGTTCTAGTTCAGTTCTAGTTCAGTTCTAGTTAAGTTCTAGTTCAGTTCTAGTTCAGTTCTAGTTCAGTTCTAGTTCAGTTCTAGTTCAGTTCTAGTTCAGTTCTAGTTCAGTTCTAGTTCAGTTCTAGTTCAGTTCTAGTTCAGTTCTAGTTCAGTTCTAGTTCAGTTCTAGTTCAGTTCTAGTTCAGTTCTAGTTCAGTTCTAGTTCTGTTCTAGTTCTGTTCTAGTTCAGTTCTAGTTCTGTTCTAGTTCTGTTCTAGTTCTGTTCTAGTTCAGTTCTAGTTCTGTTCTAGTTCTGTTCTAGTTCTGTTCTGTTCTAGATTTAGTTTTAGTTCTTTTTTAGTTCTTTTCTAGATCAAGTCCTAATTCTGTTTTAGTTCAATTCTAGTCAGTTCCGTTCTTTCAGCTGTTGTTGAGTGCTTGTTTAGTTTTGGTTCAGTTGTAGTTCCGTTATTTTTTTGTTTTAGCCGATTCTTTAATATTAAATTTGGGTATCCGATCCTTCTTAGCTAAAATTTTGTTAGAAGAATCCTCAATATTTATACCATTTATAATAGTGTTGATACGTTTCTCTATAACGCCTATAAACAGTTTAACATTATGCGAGGTCATAGAGGTTTTCGAGGAGAGCACATTTAATATGGGAGCATCATCACAAGATAGTTGTCTGCGAATGAAGGTGATAATATTAAAATTTGTATACATTTTTTAAATTATTTACAAAATACTTGAATATATCCGATATTCCCAATAACATTTGTTGCAAACGCAGCTCTAAGATGCGCAACTTTTCCTTGGCTTCGTTATTTTGCAATTCAGCCTTTTCCAGCTGTTCATTGAGGTAATCCAAAGCTTCAGTTTTCTGTAGGGTTTCCTTTTCCAGTAGCTCAGCTTTTTGGCGTTCTATGCAATTAATAGTAACAGTGTTTAACTTTTCTTAATAGTAAATTTCTTCTTTACTTACCTATTTCATCCGATAACTCCTGAGTGGTATCATTTAATACCTCTACCTCATGACTCAATTCATTGACATAACTGAACAGAGCAAAATTTTCCTCTTCCTGTCTTTTAAACTGAACAGTTAACTTTTGAGTATCCGATTCCTGATAAAGTTCCTATAAGATAAAAAGAAGTCAAACTTGAGGAGGCGTGGCAAGAATTTGTTATTGTATCTAAAAGTTCAATTCCTAATATATATTAAAGCCAAATTTCAGCTTAAAAACTTTGAAAACCTAGAAGCTGTAGCTAATTGAATTTTGGTAGCTAAAGGCAAACAGTGGGCGGAAGTTGTTAATTGCAGATTCGGTATTTTGTTTATAACTTGGTAAATATATAACATACCAAGATAATTTTGGTACCAGAGGAAAGAGTGGAAATTCAGCTTTAACATGGCTTCATACTTAAAGCCCAATGCCACGCCCTCTTCTTACTTGAACGTTGTATATTTATAATTCATTATTAAGAAAGGAAAAAAGGGCGTGGCATATAATTTTTTTCTAAAATCCAAAACTACATTTCCTTCTTTACCTAAATGCCAAATTCCATTAAAAAAGCTTTAAAATTGTAGAAGTTATTTAAAGTTAAACTTTTGTTTGTGAAACCCATAAATTTTGAGTTGCAAAAACAGCCAATCGAGAAATACTAGGGCAACAGAACTGAACAGCAAGTAAATTTTTGTATATGATTTTTGGTTTTTTGTTAATAACTTTTAAATTTCTTAATATTATGATGAAATTCTTTTTGTAATGGATAGTCTGGAATATGGGCTATCTCATGGCTTACAATTTTACAACCAATGCCACGCCTCTTTTTATATATAAAGCGTTTTATTATTAAAATCGGAATAACTCTCAAAGTTAAGGGTTTAGCAGAAAATGTTCTCCATAAATACAAAGTTCAATTCTTATTTTATGTTTATGCAAAATTTTACTTAAAAAGCTTATGAAATATGAAAGCTGTAGCGAGTTGAACTTTGCTATTCAAAAGCGAAAGGTGGGCGTTAAATTGATGAAAACTGTTTTTTGTTTTTTTTTTTAATAACTTTTAAGTTATAAGATATTTTGAAGAAATTCTTTTTGCTGTGAATAGATTGGAATATGTACTTTCTTGTATTTGTAACATAATTTACACAGACAAGCCCATTTCAGACGTGCCATTTGTATAAAGTGATGTATAATAAAAATCTTATAACTTTGAAAGTAAAACTTCTAGCAAAATTAGTTTTTCATTTATAACAAGTTCAATTCTTATTTAATCATCAAGCAAAATCTCATTAAAAAAACTTTAGAAATGTAAAAGCTGTAGCTTTATGAACTTTAGTATTCAAAAGCCATAAAGGACTTTAAATTGATTAAAACACTATTAAGGTTTTTTATTAAAAAATCCTTTGTTATACAAGATATTTTGATGATTTCTTAACCATTGAAAAGGGCGGAATTTTAGCTTTATTATGCTATAAAGGTTTAATGCTTACCGCCACGCCTTCTTTTTGTTGAAAGGTTATTTGTTATAAATAATAGTAAGTTAGAATTTTAAGTAAAAAAGAGGCGTGTCAAAAAATGATTTATACAAATTAAAAGCTGAACTCCTAATTTATGTTTAAGTCAATTTTCAGCTTAAAAGCTTTTAAAACCTAAAAGCTATAGCTAATTGAATATTGGTATCTGAAAGTAAAAAGTGGGCGGTAGAGTGTAATTGCAATTTTGGTATTTTGTTAATAAATCTGTTAATATAAAAGATAACAAAATAATTTTGGTGCCAGAGGAAAGAGGGGAAATTTTGCGTTAATACGGTTTTATATTTAACGCCCACTGTCACGCCCTCTTCTTACATTAACGTTGTATATTAATAATTCATAATTGACTGGGGGAAAAAAGGCGTGGCACATAATTTTTTTCCAAAATCTAAAACTACATTTCCTGCTTTACCCAAATGCCTAATTTCATTTAAAAAGCTTTAGAAATGTAGAAGTTATTTAAAGTTAAACTTTTGTTTCTGAAACCACAAATTTTTGAGTTGCAAAAATAGCCAATCGAAAACTACTAGGTCAACAGAACTGAATAGCAAGCAAATTTTTGAATATGATTTTTGGTTTTTTGTTAATAACTTTAAAGCTATTAAATATTTTAAAGAAATTCTTTTTGCTGTGGATAGAGTGGAATTTGGTCCTACTTATAGTTTAAAATTTTACATCATATGCCACGCCCCTTTTCGTTTATAAAGTTATTTATATTTAAAATTCGAATAACTTAAAAAGTATTAAGTCTAGGTAATTATTTCTTTCATTAGTAAAAAGTTCAATTCTTGGTGGAGGTCTATAGGAAATTTCAGCTTAAAAGCTTTTGAAATGTGAAAGTTGTAGCGTGTTAAAATTTGTTGTTTAAAAGCTTAAAGTGGGCGAAAATTTGGCAAAAATACTTTGATGGTTTTTTGTTAATAACTTTATTAATATGACAGCTAGAATAATTATTTTTTCACTAAAGGAAAGAGTGATAATTCAGCTTTATTATGGCTTATGCTTTTTACATCCAATGCCACGCCCCTTTTCAATAAACTGTGATTTATTATAAAAATCTTATTTTTAAGAGGAAGTAGGGGGCGTTACATAATTTTTGTTTCATAGGTATAAAATTCAAGTCTTGTTTTATGCCGGTGACAAATTTCAGCCTAAAAGCTTTTAAATTATGAAAGCTTTAGCATAATGAACTTTTTTATCTAAAAACTAAAAGTGGGCGAAAATTTAGAAAATTACTTTTATGGTTTTTTGTTAATAACTTTGTAAATATGACAGCTAGAAAGCTGATTTTTTCACTAATATAAAGAAGGCATATTCAGCTTTGTAATGGCTTATGGCTTTTAAAAGTCTCGCTATGCCTTCTTTTTAAATTTTGATTTATTATAAAGCTATTATTTCATAAGACGGAAAAAGCTTTTTATAAATAAATAGTGCAAGACTTGTTATAGGAAGTCTTTCTCTGATCAGCTAACTGTAATATTTTATATATAAAATCTTTCTCTACCCGATTAAAAGACAATTTTCTGTAGAAAAACCTTTCTCTCCGAAACTTTAAGAAGCTTATCTTTATAAAACTTTTATCTTTCAAGCTAGAAGAAAAATTTTTACAAAAATGTTTTCTCTCTGTTTTAGAGAACATTTAAATAAATTCTCTCTTAACTTAGAAGAAAGTTTTTTATATAGAAAATCTTGCTTGATAATAATAATCAAATTACCTTCATTCTATCAATTATTTCTTTATATTCCGCCAGTTGTCTCTCGAAAGCCTCCTTTTGTGCCAATTTCTTATCACTTTCTCGTTGTTCCAATTCCGGATTGAGACGTTTTTGTCCTTTAATATCAAAGAATTTTTGTAATTTGGCATCATGTTCCAGACGTCTTTGCATTTCACGCATTTCCTAATGATACAAGAACAAATATTGGAAAAAAGTATTTCGAAATATTAGAGAAATTCTACCTGTATATGCATAATTTTATCATTTTCATTGCGATCTTTTAAAACCTGCAGCTTATTACACAATTCCTCACGCTGATCATAAGCCAAAGTAGACTGATCGATCAAGTCCATTATATACTTCTTACCCTCGTTGAATTGAGTCACCATAGATTGCCACATTTCGTTGAAATTGGCTCTAAATTAGAAATTTTCTTAAAAATTATCCAAAACTTTAAATTTTATATATCTAACCTATCCTGCAGCATATGATTAATAGAGTCCCTCAATTTTGAATTCTCAGTCAACACATCACTGCATTTCTTATTCACCACATCTAAACGATTCTCCAGTTTGACCACGCTCTTTTGTACCTTACATATAGTGTCCTTATAACAACTATCGGGTACCTCCAGTTTACGCAAACCATCTATTTCTTTTTCCATCTAAAAGGAAAATTGAAATTAATAAGAAAAAAGTCCTCCTCGCCAATAAATCTACCTTTTTTATATGACCCTCTAATTCCCATAGATTTATACGCTCACTGGCTAAAATACGTTGCACCTCAGCCTCTTGATTTTGTAAATATATTAGTTTTTTCTCCTTCTGCAAAAGAAATCAATTCAAAATTTGGGGTTTAAAACTTTCATTTCCCTTACAGTAACATTTTTCTTGGCGTGAGTTCCTCCTTCCAAAGTATTAATTTCATTGGTCAACTGTTTGTGCTCCTGCTGCAACACGCTGATAATATGATTTTGTTTTTTCAATTGTTTGGTTTTATAGTCCAATAAACTTCTTAACTCCAATTGTAAAGTTCTCAACTTTAAAAAGAAAACAATTTTGAATAAGAAATTCCAAAATAAAAATCACATTTTGTGTTTTTTCCCCACCAACCTGTCTTTGTAAACGTTGTAATTCAGCATTGGCAGATTCTTCCAATTCTGTTTGTCCATTCATTATAGGAATTAAACATAACTTTTATTTAATTTTTAAAAAAATCCTAATTTTTCTGGGCTTTTTTAATAAAACAGAATGAAAAACAATTTCTTGTTGTCTTGGCAACCTTGTTGATACTATAAAACATAGTGGCAGCGCTTTTAAAACAAAATAACGGTATCTCCTTTATCTCATTCTTATAAAATATAAAATTTGTCTTTATATCATTCATATTTAATAAGATTTTTAGTCAAAAATCCAACATTTTAACAAAAAAACTTTAAAATCTTATCATTTGCTCTTTCATATGAGATCATAAAGTTTAATACTTTACAGCTTCCTGATTTTAAAAGGTTCTAAGCTGAAATTTGCTATGGAAATTAAAAAAGAATGAAACTTTTTATTTATTAAAGAAAAATTTTGCCACGCCTCCTTTTTCTCCCTTAAATGTAAAATTTTGATAATAAATCTTAATGTTAAAAAGAAGGCGTGGCATTGGGTAAAAAATATATAAGCCTTAACAAAGCTACAATTCCCCTCATTCCATTAATGCAAAAATTATCCTTCTAGCTCTCATATTAACAAAGTTATTAACAATTAACCATTAAACAAATTTTACCAAATTTCCGTCCATTTTGAGCTTTTAAACAGCAAACTTTAACACGCTGCAACTTTAACATGTCAAAAGCTTTTAAGCTAAAATTCACCATAAACATAAAACGAGAATTAGATTTAACATTTATGAAAAAAATAATTTTATACATCTTTTACTTTCTATGCTATTCAAATTTTAAATATAAATAACATTATACACAAAAAGGGGCGTGGCATTTTTCTCTAAATTTCACATCATAAGGAAGCGCATATTCCAATCTATCCATCCCAAAAAGAATTTCATTGAAATATTATGTATATTGAAAGTTATTAACAAAAAACCAAAAATCATATACAAAAATTTACTTGCTGTTCAGTTCTGTTGACCTAGTAGTTTTCGATTGGCTGTTTTTGCAACTCAAAAATTTGTGGTTTCAGAAACAAAAGTTTAACTGGAAATAACTTCTACAATTTTAAAGCTTTTTTAATGAAATTTGGCATTTAGGTAAAGAAGGAAATGTAGTTTTGGATTTTAGAAAAAAATTATATGCCACGTCCATTTTTCCTCTCTTAATTATGAATTATTAATATACAACGTAAACGTAAGAAGAGGGCGTGGCAGTGGGCGTTAAATATAAAACCGTATTAACGCAAAATTTCCCCTCTTTTCTCTGGCACCAAAATTATTTTGTTATCTTTTATATTAACAGAGTTATTAACAAAATTGCAATTACACTCTACCGCCCACTTTTTACTTTCTGATACCAATATTCAATTAGCTATAGCATTTAGGTTTTAAAAGCTTTTAAGCTGAAAATTGACTTAAACATAAATTAGGAATTCAGCTTTTAATCTGTGTAAATAATTTTTGACACGCCTCTTTTTTACTCACAAATCTAACTTACTATTATTTATAACAAATAATCTTTCAACAAAAAGAAGGCGTGGCAGTAAGCATTAAATATTTATAGCATAATAAAGCAAAAATTCCGCTCTTTTCAATGGTTAAGAAATCGTCAAAATATCTTGTACTACAAAAGATTTGTTAATAAAAAACCTCAATAGAGTTTTAATCAATTTAAAGCCCTTTATGGCGTTTGGATACTAAAGTTCATATTGCTACAGCTTCTACATTTCTAAAGTTTTTTAAATGAAATTTAGCTTAAAGATTAAATGAGAATTGAACTTGTTGTAAATGAAAAACAAATTTTACTAGATGTTTTACTTTTAAAGTTATACGATTTTTATTATATATCACTTCATACATAGAAATGGGCGTGGCTATGATAATTTATGTTATATACACAAGAAAGTATATATTCCAATCTATCCACAGCAAAAAGAATTTCTTTAAAATATCTTACAGCTTAAAAGTTATTAACAAAAAACCAAAAAACAGTTTTCATAAATTTAACGCCCAACTTTCGTTTTTGAATAGCAAAGTTCAACTCGCTACAGCTTACATATTGCTAAAGCTTTTTAAGTAAAATTTTGCATAAACATAAAATAAGAATTGAACTTTGTGTTTATAGAAAAAAAATTCTGCTAAACACTTCAATTTGAGAGTTATTCCAATTTTAATAATTAAACGCTTTATATATAATAAGGGGCGTGGCATTGGTTGTAAAATTGTAAGCCACGACATAGTCCATATTCCAGACTATCCATCACAAAAAGAATTTCATCAAAATATTAAGAAAATTAAAAGTTATTAACAAAAAACCAAAAATCATATACAAAAATTTACTTGCTGTTCAGTTCTGTTGCCCTAGTATTTCTCGATTGGCTATTTTTGCAACTCAAAATTTATGGCTTTCAGACACTAAACTTTAACTGTAGATAACTTCTATAATTTTAAAGATTTTTTAATGAAATTTGGTACAGAGCTAAATATGGAAATGAAGTTTTAGATTTTGGAAAAAATATATATGCCACGCCCCTTTTTTCCTTGAGATATTTTATTTAAATAATATACACAGTTTTAAGCAATTGTTATAATTGAAGTAATGTAACAATTTATATGTAATTAAAGCTTAAATTCCCCTCTATTATTTGTTGAAATAATTATCTTAATAGCTTTAATAGTTTAAAAGTTATAGGTTAAAAACTTAAATCGTTATTATATCTAATTTTTAAACCTGCGAAAGAACGTTAACTTTTAAGTGCTGCCAAGTTTGAGGTAAATGTTTACTCTAACCATGTGGCAGCTTTAGCAAACAGCTGTTAATGACACCATCTGCTAAAACCGTAAAAACAAGGTTATGTAAAACACAACAAAAGAACTTCAACAGAAATATTACATTTTTTAAAAGAAATTTATATAAAAATTTAATAAAAAACATAAAATATGGTGTCTCCAACTTTGGCCTTGTTTGTAAGATCCCGCGGACCCGATGAATTTTGGCGTAAACGTAAAATTTTCAAACTGGCAGCGGTAAGTTAAGAAAACTTGGTAAATTTTGTAAAAGTTAATGTACATTTGTCTAAATGTTTAGCACTATCGTGGTCGCAGAAGGAATGTTTACTCCATTGCAGTGCGTAATGTACACCGAGCCCTGGTTTATGCCACCAAAGGCAGGAAGTTGAAGAAATTGGATATGGCAGCGGTAATTTATTAAAAATCAACAGTATTTTAGTAACTATTTTAAAATTGCTTTGTTTTTCTTAGCTATGGACCACCAGAGTACAAGCCGGTTGTGAGCAATATGGTGTTACCTTGGATGCCTTCAAAGAGGGCTTAACACGCAGTAATATTTTATTGAATAGGTGAGAATTTGTCAAAAGTTTGTAGGTTCCAAAAATCAAAATTTTTGTTTCTTTGCAGAAAAATCCTATCAGATTTGGCTATTTGGGAGCCCCGTTCTTTTGAGGCTTTAGTTAAACTATCACGCGAAAGAGCTGTAGTACAAACATTGCCCGGCATTAATGAAAGATCTGTTATGAATCAAGTGTATGGCTTAGCCAATTTGCAAATAAAATAATCTGTTAAGTTTCTTGAATATTTTAAGTGTTTTTCTTTTCAATCAATAAACAAACTTGGTTTTTAATAAGGAAATAAAGCGTAAAACCGTTTTATTTATTTTCATTTACATAAAAATACACAAAATTCCAATTTGCTCGAGATTAAAATGGATAACAACTTTCCCTAGCAAATCTAATGGAATTTCTTGTTTTTCTTTATAAATATAAATGGAATTTACAAACTAAATTATAGTGCTAACGGCTCAGCCTTAATAAATTAAAGGCTAAGTTGTATTGATCAAAAAAAAAAAAAATTACATAGAAATTATTTAAAGTTAATAAAAAACGAAATCAGATGATTACAAAAATAATTATGATTAAATTACAACAAATGCTGGTGGTTTGTTCTATAAATTCTATTCAACTTTAGCCAAGATATCAGATTCACGGAACAACAAGTATTCTTTTTTGTCTTCCAATTCAACTTTGGTGCCACCATATTCGGGCAACAAAACGCGGTCACCAGCCTTAACATCCATGGGGATAGTAGCACCAGTTTGCTAAAAAAGATAAAAAACAACGGTAAATAAAAAATTTCTAGAAACTTTGCCCATCAAAATGGGTAAACAAAACTTACAGCATTTCTGGCACCAGGTCCTACAGCCACAACTGTACCGTGCATCATTTTGCCTTGGGCTTTTTCGGGTAAAACAATACCGCCCTTAGTGGTGGTCAAAGTTTCAGCACGTTGTACCAAGATGCGGTCCAACATGGGGATGATTCTCTTAACAGCATTGGAAGCCTTAAAGTTATAACAAGAAATTTCACATTTAGCAAAATTTTTTTATAAATTTCAAATTATTCTTTAAAAACTATTTAAAATTTGTTAAAATACTTAATTTTTCTAACAATTTTCATTTACAAATCTTTAACAAAGTTCTAAAATCAAAAGTTATCACTAAATTTCCAATTGTTTCTATATTACACAACACTTTGTTGACTATAACAGCCGGCCTCGCACATCTTTTACTTTATTATCACTTAAAAAAACACCAAAGACACATCATAGAAACATCGAGAATGTTTTCAAATTTTCTTTAACTTTCAATTATCAAAAAATTAAATGTTTGTAAACATTTTTTTTTATTGAGGAAAAACTCACCATTTCTGTTAAATTTGTTTTAATTAAGGCGAGAAAATTAAATTAATAAAAATTGTGCAAGAAATTTCAAGAATTTTTTGCGTAAATTTGCTTAGTTTTCGCACACGTGCGGTTAAGACAAGTGATTATTTGATAATGAAGTTGAAATGAAAATTTCTGGCAGATTTGTCACTTCTTTGCGATATATACAAAAGCTGTATGATATGAAACAGTATTCATTTTCAATCTGGCAGCTTAATGATTACTCCAGAATTAAAATGCTGCCAAGTTTGTAAAAGCAAAATAAAAACGCTACACTCGAATT